CTTAGTTAATATTATTACACATATCACAGAGAGCTTCTGTCTGGCAAAAGGTCAGAAGCGTCAATGGGTGGGGTGAGGCCGAGACACACACACACGCCTTCACACACACACACACACACACACACACACACAAACAGTATTAGACTCATGTTTAGGTAAAAGTTCAAATATTCAAATAATAGTTAGCAAAACCTTGTAACTGTAAGATTATGTTTGCATAAGGGACAGTTTGTTCTAGGGGATAAGCAGAGTTAGAAGATTAACAGGAAGGACCTGGCCCCGAGACGGAGAAATGTCCTTCCTAATTGTGTCAAAAGTTGCTAACAGAACATTGGTGTTTTTGAAACTCATGTATGTATAGTATCTTCTTGACGCATGAGGGGGCATCATAAACAATACCCTGATGCTATAAAAACAACTGCTGGTGTATGATTGGGCGGAGATCGATGCTGGTGTGTGCAGTGTTCATCTCCCCACGCGTGTGTTTATTAAAATCATCGTTTGACCGACTCTCCTGGACCAAGTGTAGTTTTTGTGCTCTCCCTCAATATTTGAACCCGTAACATTTTGGGGGCTTGTCCGTGTATTGAGGGAGGGAGTGAGCTTGGAGGTGTAGATGGAGATATCCGGGGTCCGAGGTGGTCAGACGGGCAGGCATGATCCGGCAATTGAACTGAATGGACAGGCACTTTTATAAAAGAGGTAGGCACAGGCCCATTGATTTTATCCGAAGTATGCTGAATTGGACGATAAAATTAAATGTCTATTCAGTAAAAGTTGCTGGTAAAAAAAAAAAAAAAGTAAAAGTTGCCGGTGAATGTCTGTTTTGATTATGGTGAGAGGCTCATGAGAATTGAAAGTTGAAGTAAGGATAATGAAACTTTGAAAGTGATAGTACTGAGTAAAGAGAAAGCAGTTGGACTGCTAAGAGAGTTTAAAGCAGTCAAAGCAGATAACTAACATGCATCAGTTCCAGTAATTCCAAGCTTGGGCACATTCAAAAAAGAACAGTTCCTTCCTCTGTTCCTCCGCCACCGCCAGATGCTTCCTGTTATTTCACTTACTGCACTTCAGAACAGAACATGAACATGCCGTTTACAAGCAAAACAAGTCTATATACTGTGTATGTGTGCAGGCAGCCTTATGTGTGTCTTGACCTCAGTGCATGACCTCACTCGACAAACAAAGAAATTTTAAAAGTATACTTCCTGAGTCATCTGAGTCATCTGTTACCAGGCAAACTCCAATGCAGCAGGCTGCTGAACACACAGGCCTGTATTCTGTTTCTATATAATATGTGGTGTATTGTAAGCATGTATGCAATCCTGCCATAGCTTTGGGTCACTTTACTCAATAGATCGGCCGAATATCGCGTCGACCGAAGCTTCAGACCATTAATTAACTGACCGAGCTTCAACTCTTTAATAAGCACAAAAATGCGTATAACATGATTACAGTTGCACCTGCAATGAAAGATTATTATGTGATTAAGCTAACACCTGAAATACAGACTTTAATGTAACATCAACAGCTTCAATAAATGCTCTGATGACATGATAATGATAATCGATAAGTAATGCAACAGTAATGATAATGGTTATGAATAGTAACAGTAATATAATATTCTAATCTCCACAACTAAATTAACTAAGTTAATTTAGTATAATAGGTAATTGGTCATTTTGTGGGTTAAAGTCCCCATTGGTCAGAAAGGTTGGTCCTGATACACTTGTTCTGAGGTGTTGATTGTTGTTTCAAAGTATTATAAATTTTTCTAGAACGGCAGTTGGACTGCTAAGAAGTGTATAACCCGGAGGTTACGCTCCCTCCTTGCCGTGGACGCACAACCTTGACCTATTGGCGATTAGGGTTACTTCAGTTTGGCTTAACTGTGGGGTACAGGGCATCCTGGAATAAGCTAGGAGTTAGAGTCTCCTTACCGCTTGGAACGGTATCTGCACTTTTTTGGGTAGCAAAGGTTGGACCTTGGGTGTTGGATACTTTTAAATTGATTTAGGGATCTTAGAAATTAGGCCAGAGACAGTTTGGAACTGATACTGGTTAATTGATCGCAAAAAAGTTGGACTTTATCGGTTGGACCGTTAATTTAAATTTGTCGAAATTGTGTAGGTGTTAATAGGCCTGATAATCTCTGCAGTTGTAATTATAAGACGTCTTTGTAATATAAAATAAGAGATTTATGTGTGTGAAAATGCAAATGAGGAGGCGGCGAAGGGCTTAGAGTATTATTGGCTTTATAAACACAGTTGCAAATACTGTCACATGCTTGTAATTAAGACGCTGGTTTTGCTGATTACAATATTACAATTATAGTTTTGAGTGGTTGCAGTGGATTTATAGTAATTGACTGAGTTTTTGATATATATTGAGTGCACTGTACATACCTAAGATCAATATATTACTTTCAATAGTAACCTCCCTTCAGCAATAAATGCTGGTGTGTTTTAGTTTTTCCATTTTTTGTGTGCTGTGAGAATTATTAGAGGTTTCAATTGTTTTTCTTTCACTTCTGAAAAGCATGTCTGATAAAATCCTCTTAGGAAAGTGTATTTTGAGTGATTCTAAGTGCGTGAATGTTGTGAGCACTGGAGTTGAATGATTCTGTGTGAGTTGGACTAAATAATAAATAAGTAATATTAACACTATGTGGGTTCACAGTAGAGTGCGTGAAAAAGAGGAAGTTTGAGAGAAAAGCCAGTGTGAGTGAGACGATTATGAAAGTATTGCGTGAATGACGCTACACAACGGAGCTGAAAGAATGGTGATATGTGTGGAAAATTGTTAATTGTCCTGATATCTGAAAGAGCTCTGCTGGGCACGCTGAAGATTTTGATGTGAATGCTTGTGTAGAAATGTTTAGCTGATTTAGAGTTTAGAAATGTGTTAACATAGAATCTAGAATTATTGTAGAGACATTGACACTGCCCTCAATGTAATAAAGGCCTGAT